TCATTTTTTTAACTTTAATTAGCCTGCCTTGATTGAAGTGATAGAATGAACCTTAGGGCTTGGTATTGGGGGTGGAGGAGTAAATAAATGTTTTAGTTCTTTTTTTATCAACATAGAAGGTAACACATACTGTTATTTACTTAAATATACGTTGCATTATGATTATTGATAAAATATCAAAATATTAAATTCTCCTCTAAAGGATATATTATTGATGATGATGATCTTTCTTTTGGATAAATATACCAGTGTTAAAAGTTTCTATACTTAAATTAGAAAGAAAATATTATTTTATATCCAACATTCTCAATATCACAAGAGGTAAAATAAATTGACAAACTTGTAATTTATTAAAAGTCTTAGCTTAAATCTTCAGTTTTTACTTTCTTAAGCCTTTTAACACTTCCTTAATATACTCTGGGCAAAATATCCTTTCAAATGAATTCTTAAATTTGTTTAGCATATGATAAACATACCAAAATGTCTCCTCAAATCAACTTAAAGCTAAAACTTTTAACTTAAAGTTTAAACTTGAATGATTTGTGACCTAAGATTTTGCTTCCTAAAATAAAAATGTTGTTTCCTAAAATAAAAGAAGGATGCAATGAATTTACGATGCAGGCAAGACATTCAGTTAGAAACTGGATGGCAGGTCTGGGACTCAACAGTCAGATTGGAACTAAAGATACATTTGGTTAAATTTTGAATGTTACAGTGTCATTACAGAATTTCACTTTTTCTTATGTTCTCTATTGGCTCATAAAACCAATAGAGGAGATTGCCTCATAGGCACTTTAAAAATACTTACAGGTGAATGGTCAAAGTTTTAAACCAAGCATCTTCTTTTAAATTTATCTTTATTGTTGAAAGTATTACAGATGTCCCCATTGTTTGTTCGTTTGTTTGTTTGTGAGTTTGTTTCCCCACTGACCCCCTCCATCTGGTACCCATCCCTGCCAGCCCTTTACTACTCCATTGCCTATGTCCATGGGTTATGCATATATGCATATCAGTTCCCAGCACCCTTACCCCCAAGCATCCTATATAATAAAAGCCTAATATGCTAAGTGTCTGGTTGTCCAGTTGTCTGTTCAATCAATCAAAGCATAATATGCTAATGATATGCTAAGGCCACTCAACTGCTCACTGTGACATGCACTGACCACCAGGGGGCAGACAGACAACCAGTGACCAGTCACTATGATGTGCACTGACCACCAGGGGGCAGATGCACTAACCGGTAGGTTAGCTTGCTGCTTGCAGCCGATAGAGACTGAGTGAGACAGGCCATACATGCCCTGGAGCCCTTCCACAGTCCCTCCCCGGCTGGCCAACCTCCTGCGTCCCTCTTTGGCCCTGATTGTGCACCAGTGAGGTCCCTCGGCCTGGCCTGTGCCCTCTCACAATCTGGGACCCCTTGGGGGATGTTGGAGAGCCGGTTTCAGCCCAATCCCGCAGGCCAGGCCGAGGGACCCCACTGGTGCACGAATTTGTGCACCAAGCCCCTAGTTATGATATAAAAAGTATGTTGAGGATTAGGCATTGTTGCCCCAAAATACTAACTTTGTTGTCTGAAATAGTAAGGGATTTAGCAAAATTTCTTCAAAAAGAAACCAATGATTTTGCATTGAAAAATGGAAAAATTCTAGTTCTTCATTTATTCTGTAAAATAATTTCATCTCCATTACTAGGTGTACCAGTTAATAATGCGGATAATGTAATCAAAGAAATAATTTCAAGAGAAACATCAAAAGTGCTTTATTCAAAGTAATGTCCATTGCTAGCTACACATTTCCCCCATCTTTCAGGTAATTTGCTCTAGTCATATATCTATACTAGAAGCCCGTTGCACAAATATTCACACAATAGGCCTTCCTTCCTGTGGCTGCCGGCACCGGTTTTCCTCGGGCACCCGGGACCCAAGCCTTTGGTTCAGCCGCAGCGGAGAAGCCAAGCCTCTTCAGTCTTCAGTCTTCACTCCAGCCAGAGCCTTCAGTCTTCGCTCCACGCCTGCATATGCAAATTAACCGCCATCTTCGTTGGGTTAATTTGCGTACTGATCCTTATTGGCTGGTGGGCATAGCGAAGTGACACCAATTTGCGTGTTTCTCTCTTATTAGTGTAGATAGTCATGTACTATCCCCTCTCATACTGCAGTGCTTTGAATTCCTCACTGAATTTGTTTCTCCTTCTTGCCATTATCTAGCATAGTGTTAAGAACATACATTCTTTTAAAATTTGAATCCTGGCTCAACTATTTTAATAGATATGTGACCACAAGCGACATAACTCATCTTTGCCACAATTTTTGTATCTTTAAACTGGGACCAATAATGTAACATACTTCATAGGGTTATTGTGAAAATTAAATAAAAACAAAAAACACGTGAAATGTTCAGAACAGTGCCTGGCACACAGTTAGTGCTATATAAATTGTTAGTCATTACTCCTACTGTGAATACTGCTATCACTGTGATTTCTCAGTGCTGTCAGCGGCTTGCCCTTTCTTCTCTTTTTAAATTTCTTTAATCTTAGAAAACAGGTAACTAAGCTTGTTAGAATTAAATGCAAATTAAGAGTAAATTTAGTGTATGAAGCCTGAGATATACTTCCAAGAAAACAAAATGCTGTGTGTTTGCCTTGGTATTGATTGCACTTCGGCTGCTGAGAACATTTTTATCTTGGGTGCAGCATTAACAGGCCATGTTTATAAATGAATCTGGAATTTAAAAAAATAAGATTTAAAATATCTCTTAATAAGTATGACTTGCTTTTTAGGGAAAAAGATCTTGAAGAAGCTCTGGAAGCAGGAGGTTGTGATCTTGAAACTTTGAGAAATATAATTCAAGGGAGACCACTACCTGCTGATCTGAGGACCAAAGTTTGGAAGGTAAATGGAAACTAAATTAATAAAATGTAACCACTAAAAAATTATATTTGAGAATTTTTATTTTCAGTTGTCTTAGTTTGAAGACTATTATCCTATGGGCATGTCACATGTAGAAAATTAGTCAGGGCAACTTACTAAAATCTCTGTTCTGTAATGCTCGGTATATTTAATAATTTAGGTTTTGAAAGGCAATGTCTTCTTTATTAAGATGTTATGATTACAATAGAAATACTTATTTTTGTTAAAACATATATAAGATAAAAATTATCTGTTGTCTGCCACCTGTTTGTAAAACACAATAATGTCTTGGTGTATATTTTTTTTACTTTTTTCCTGTTTGCACATATATATGTAAAAGAAATGGAATTATAACTGTATATAGTATTCTGAATGTTTTATCACAGAAATTTAAAACACAAAGTTGAGACACTTGTATAATGAGCCTCCTCTTAGCTTTAATTGTTATCAGTATTTGGCCAATCGTGTTTGATTAATATCCCAGTCCTTTCCTCCCCACACTGGATTATTTTAAAACAAACCATTGGCCCAGCTGGCGTGGCTCAGTGGTTGAGTGTCGACCTATGAAACAGGAGGTCACAGTTTGATTCCCGGTCACGGCACATGCCTGGGTTGTGGGCTCATTCCCCAGTGTGAGGTATATAGAAGGCAGCCAATCAATGATTCTCTGTCATCATTAATGTTTCTCTCTCTCTCCCTCTCCCTTCCTGTCTGAAATCAATACAAATTTACAAAAACACACACACACAAAAATAGAAATCCTTGATGGCACACTAAAATACTTTAGTATGAAAGTCTAAAAGATAAAGACTTAAAATAACCGTAATATTATTAAACTTGAAAGAATAGTAATTTTTTAATGTATGTGTCCTCCCATAGCTGGAGGGAAAAAGTAGTCTCTGGTGTCTTTTTTATAAGAGCACTAATTCCATTCATGAGGGCTCCACCCTCATGATCTAATCACCTCCCAAAGTCCCCACCACCAAATACCATCACAGTAGGATTTCAATATGCATGGTTGACATAAACATTCATGCTATATGGCATTGATGATATTTGTTTAAAATAAATTTACATATGTAATTATGTAAATATTTTACGTAATTTTTTCTATTCACTGTGTTGACATGGAGTAGTACAGTTTAATTTAGGAGGAATATGACTAAGGTTTCAGCATTTGGTGAAGTGTAGATACATTACTTTGTAATCTTTGAAATATTCATTATTATTCCTAAATTCAGGCCTTTCTATTGTTACAGCGTCTTTCCAAGGATGAAAGATGGCATATGAAGCTAGTTGCTTTTTTTTTTCTTCCAGATTGCTCTAAATGTTGCAGGAAAAGGAGATAGTTTGGCATCATGGGATGGTATTTTAGACCTGCCAGAACAGAACACTATTCACAAAGATTGTCTAGAGTTTATTGGTAAGTTTAATAATTGTTTTCAAACAGTAAAAAATTTTGGAAATAATTTTGGGGTAGAGGAATCATTCTTTATTATCTTATTATTACTTGGGATATTTCAAATTTTAAAGCGCTAGTAAATAGCTTTAGAATTTTTCATTTGAACATCTTACGAAATAAAGTCTAATATTTTAAGAAAGAGAGCCCAATTTTTAGTGTTCTTTTGCATCATGTTTTTAATTCTTTAAGTATTTTTATAATTTTATTGCAGTTTAAAATTTTTTTGATGTAATTAATATTTATGTAACTTATGTAGTCCTAAATTAAAGGAGGCTGTTTTCCAAAAGTTTACCTATAAATCATAGGTCATGATCTGTAGAAAAACATTTTAGTTAAATTATTGATTAGTTGAGCTTTTGTTCACTAACCACATAGGAAACATTGCTGGTGTGGGCAAAGGAAATTGAATTTGGAGGTAGAGAATGAATCATTTTCCCTGCCCTTGGCAAGGCTGTAGTGGTAGCTGCCCATCATGGGGTAGATGATAATCTCTTATTTAGAAAACAGTTTTTGCTTTCCAAGAATATGAGTTATGATTCTTTCCTGCTCTTCTACTTCAGATGGTCCATTCTTGTTTGATCTACTTGTATATATAAGTCAAATATTATTAAGTTAGTAAATATTGAACAGCTAGTAAATACTGAATAAGTATAAGGAAAGATGTGCTTTCACATAGTGTTGTTATGCTCTAAATCAATCACCAACCTTTCGGACCTCATGGACCACCAGTGGTCCATGGACCACCTGTTGGCAACTGCTGCTCTAAATGCAATAATATAGTATTTGTTATATATTTGTAAATAAGTGTTATGTCCAATAACAGCCTCTAACAAGCCCTTGGTAACCTTATTTTGACATTTATTTTCTAGGCCAGCTTTCAGTGCCAGAAGAGAAGGCAGCAGAATTACTTTTGGATATTGAATCTGTAATTACCTTTTATTGTAAATCACGTAACATTAAATATAGCATGTCCCTTAGCTGGATACATCTACTCAAACCACTGGTGCGTCTTCAACTGCCACGCAGCGATTTGTACAACTGCTTTTATGCTATCATGAATAAGTACATCCCCAGGTAAACTGTGATTTAACTACTTATTTTAAAAATGAATAAAGGTCTAGTTTGCTTGAGTTAAAGTTGTTAGATATATTTTAGTGGTAAAGTAAAAGGATTAAATAATTTTGAAGGTTGGTTGAATCATAATTGTTATTTGACTTAGTGATTATAAAAAAATTTTAAGGATTCTTTAAGAATTTATGCTTCTAGAGTATATATATATATATATATATATATACTTTTTTAGTCTGTGAGGAAGGTGAAGTAGAGAGCACTATGGGAATGTATAATGAGGGTAGCCTAACCTGCCCTGGGGATTAGGATTGGCTTCCCTGGGCAGGTAATATCTTAAGCTGAAACTAGACAGATATGTAGGGATGAGTGATGGAGGCTGCACTCATGAACCAGAGAGAATTCTTTTTTTAAAATATATTTTATTGATTTTTTACAGAGAGGAAGGGAGAGGGATAGAGAGTTAGAAACATCAATGAGAGAGAAATATCAACCAACTGCCTCCTGCACACCCCCTAATGGGCATGTGCATGCAACCTAGGTACATGCCCTTGACCGGAATCGAACCTGGGACCTTTCAGTCCGCAGGCCAACGCTCTATCTACTGAGCCAAACCGGTTAGGGCCAGAGAATTCTTGGAGTAGCCAGTGCTATGGATCAGGTGGTGAGGATTTTAGAGCCAAAAGGAACTTTCATCATAACCTACAGCAGTGGTTTGGCTGCCTCCTGAACCTTGTATACAAATTGGAATCATTGGGAGCACTTTTAAAAATCCCCATGCCTGATTGCATAGCCGACTAATTAAATAACATCTCTGAGGCCAGCACACAGGTGTTAGTTTTTGTTAAGAGCTTCTCAGTTAATTACAGTGTGCAGCCAAGGTACAGAACCGCTATTTTAGAGCTTCCTAGTTAATTGACTACCATTTTTTAGTACTGTCTGTGTGATAACATGCTATACTAGGTTTGGGTGCTTTGTGTATGTTCTCATTTAAACAATGACCTAAGGTAGGTAAGTAGGTATCTCTATTTACAACTACAGAAATTGAGGCAAAAAAAGAGAGATTAAGTGATTTTTCCAGAATCACACTTCTGGTGTGTGATTGAATCAGGAGTTGAACCTAAGTTTAAATGAACACCCGTGCTTTACTAAAGTGGTTCTCCATACTGATTGCTTATTAGAATCAACTGAAGTTAGTCTACTTTCTGTCACTATAGATTTGCCTATTCTGGACATTTTACATAAATGAATCATAATATGTGGTCTTTTGTGATTGTAATGTTTTAAAGATTTACCCATATTGTAGCATATATTATTTTGTTGTTGCTGAGGACTCTTTCATTGTATGCATATAACACATTTATTCATTCAGCAGTTGATGGACATTTGGATTTCACTTTTTGGCTATTATGAATAGGGCTGCTATGAACATATGTGTACAAGTTTTTGTGTGGACATGTAATTTCATTTTTCTTGGATATTGTACCTATTAGTGGAATTGCTGGGTCATATGATAACTCTATGTTTAACCTTTTGAGGAATTGCTAGACTTTTCCACAATAGTTGCATTATTTTGCATTCCCATTAGCAGTGAATGAGCATCCCAGTTTCTCCACATCCTCATCAACATTTGTTTTTTTATTATAGCCATACTAATGAGTATGAAGTGGCATCTCAGTATGGTTTTGATTTGCATTTCCCTTACAAGTAAAGATGTTGAACATCTTTTCATGTGCTTAGTGGCGATTTATATATCTTCTTTGGATACTGTCTCTTCAGCCCAAGAACTTTTAAACATGCTGGTACTTGAAGTTTCAAGTATAAATAAACTAGTTAGAACCTAGGCATGGATATATTTTTAAAATTCAGGTGATTCTAATATACACCAGGGTGGAGAACCTCTGTACTACCTTGAAGCCATAGTGCTTCATGTAAGGAAAACAGACTTAGAGATGCCAAGGCACAGGGCTAAGGTCAAGGTAGAGCCAAGACTGGAATTCATATTTGGGAAACATTATGTTATACTAGATCTCTCAACTACCTCCCAGTGTACTTTAGTACCTCTCACCATAACAGAGATAGCATAGCAAGAGACACGGTGTTCCGCCTAGGGAATGGTGGTGGTGGCGGCTAGTACTAGAGGGAGGGGTTTTCTGAACTGTGTGACAGGCTGTCTAGTCAGGTGTCTTCAGTTACTGTTTTCAAGAGTTCTAACTGTATCACAGTACTTCAGCCAAAGTCAGTGTTAATGTCCTTGGATAGAACATAGCTCCACAAACGGTGCTAGAAGAACTCCATTATGATGCATCTTTTTACAGATTCAGATAAAACACGGGTAGAATTCTATCAAGCACAGCGCCTTGCAGTACAGAGTACCTTTGCAGTACACAGATATTAAATGAGTAGGCTGACTCCCTGAGATGTCCCACTTTAACTGAAGATGAGACCTCAAACTAGGCACCTGTTCCTACAGTCTATGCCCCTACTCAGTTTATAAGCCTTGCACTTATTAGTATTTAGACTAAGGAGGAGGTAATCTTACCAATATAAATCCAATTCTGTCTCTGGCACCTGAATTACCAAACCAGGGCCTTTTCTACAAACTTCCCTGTCAAACTGCAATATCAAAAAATGGCAGCTAGAAGGTCATACCAAATCTTGGTATAAACCTCAGATCTTGGATTTGTAGAAATTATTTTTCCGTGTTTGAATAGCATTTTGAAACAATGTACAGAATAGTATTACATGTAAACTGTAAATAAAAATTAAAAATAAGTTAAAACAACAAAAGTAGCTGCTTGGGTGAGCTACTTGGCTACAAGTAAGCCTTAGTTTTCTAAACTGTACAACAGGGAAATAATAGTGTTTATTTTACAGGGTTGCTTTTAAAGATAAACATAAAATGCTTTTATGTTAAAACTGTGACATTCATTTCATTAACTTTTTTGCATGCATCCTTTTACCTTGGTATCTTTACAGTTTGCTTTATTATTTTGTTGTTAATCCTCACCTGTGGATATTTTTTCCATTGATTTTTAGAGAGAGTGAAAGAGAGGGAGGAAGGGGGCAAGAAACAGAAAGAGAGAGGGGGAAACATTGGTGTGAGAGAGACACATTGTTTGGTTGCCTCCCACACGTACCCTGACTGGGGCCGGGGTCAAACCCCACATCAGGTAGATGTCCTGGACCTGGAATCAAACCCAAGACCATTCAGTGCACATTTAGACGCTCTGATCATTGAGCAACACAGGCCAGGGTGTACAGTTTGCTTTTTTAGAGACTATACTGCTACCAAAATACCACTTTTTAAAATATCAAGTTATATTTATGGAAGGGTAGTATGTCATAATAGCTTAATGCCCAGTTTCTGTATATAAGTCTTAGCTCCATCACTTCTTAGATATATGACCTTGGGTGAGCTACTTGACTATAACCAAGCCTTAGTTTCCTCAGTTGTGCAACGGGGGAAATAATAGTGTCTATTTTATAAGGTTGGTTTTATAGATAAACCAAGATAACTTTTTAAAAGTGCCTGTTGCAGTGTTTGGCACATGGTATCTCCTTGGACACAAGGGAACAGGCAAGAAGTAGGATGGTTATAAGTAAAGTGCGTGTTTGTTACCTTCTAGAATTCACTCCAAGCACCTAGTAACCGGGCTACTTCAGCAGCTTGTAAGGCTCTTTCTTCTAAATGTGTCTATTCTGAAATGTTCATCTGGCCATTTCAGACTTGTACCTTTGCCTGAAGGACATTCCTAATTGTGTACATTAACCTGAAGCCTTCTTAGGAGTTTCCTCTTAATTTGGCAGGAAAAAAAGGGGGCTAGACTTCTTCAGAACTCTCCAGGTCTCCTTTTGGAATTCAAAATTTACCAAAATACCCTAAGTGGTCCTGCTGTTTTCAGTGGTCCTGTAGTCCTTTTATTAGAGCGCTGCCCAGGTTCACCTAAAGAATCTCCCTAGAGTTGGTTGTAGACATGTTGCTTCTACAACTTTCTGTGAAGTCAGGTCCATTAGGTGTTAGCAAGAGAGCTCTTCCTGGTTTATTAGATAGACTGGTATTCAGGTGTTCTGAAGGTAGGAAGGAGGCGGATATTACAAGAGCATTGGTTACTGATGTGATCATTTCTGACCTATTAATGCAAGAATCTTTTCTTCTTTTGTCTTCTAGGGATTGTTCCCTGAAGGGGAGACCCTTTCATCTTTTCCGATTACTCATCCAATACCATGAGCCTGAGCTTTGTTCATTCCTTGATACAAAGAAAATTACTCCAGACTCCTATGCACTCAACTGGGTAATAAAGTGAAAGTAGGAACACTTAATGAAAAATAGATTTTTATGAAACTATAATTAGTTATTTTTTCCTCCAAGGAAGAAACAGAAAAGTACTAAATTATCGACCATTAAACCAAAGGAGTAAAATTATTGGCACTTCATAAGTAGCTTGTTTTGCTTCTCACTTATGTTAGTTTAGGTTAATATGAACTTCAGCCTTTTGTTTTACAAAATATGTGACATATTTATATACACATCTATCCTAGCTAATAATAGAGAAACATGGTAATTAGCCATAACTTCGCTACCCTTCCCATTGGCTAATCAGCAAGATATGCAAATTAACTGCCAGCCAAGATGGCGGCCGGCAGCCAGGCAGCTGAAGCGAACATGAACATGAGGCTTGCTTACTCCAGTGATGGAGGAAGTCAACGTTCCCTGTCTGCCTGCCGCAGCTCAGCTCTGAGCTCCGGATGAAACAATGTTGCAATTATAGAACCTAAACAAACCCTAGAGACCTGCTTTCAGCAGCCAAGGCCTCAAGCTGGAGCTGGCCTCAGAGCTAAAGCTGGCTCCCAGCTCCAGTGACAGCCAGAGAAGGTAAATAAATCCCAGAATAAAAATCAAAAAGAAAAAAAGGAGAGGTTGGGAGCTTCAGTCCCCTGCCAGCCTGAAAACGGCCCTCAGCCCCTCACCCAGAC